TTTGGGTTGGTCTAGTGGCTGGGTTTTGGTTTGGCACCATCCGGTTCAACTTAGGTTTTGAGTGGTTTTGGGTTGGTCTAGTGGCTGGGTTTTGGTTTGGCACCATCCGGTTCAACTTAGGTTTTGAGTGGTTTTGGGTTGGTCTAGTGGCTGGGTTTTGGTTTGGCACCATCCGGTTCAACTTAGGTTTTGAGTGGTTTTGGGTTGGTCTAGTGGCTGGGTTTTGGTTTGGCACCATCCAGTTCAACTTAGGTTTTGAGTGGTTTTGGGTTGGTCTAGTGGCTGGGTTTTGGTTTGGCACCATCCGGTTCAACTTGGGTTTTGAGTGGTTTTGGGTTGGTCTAGTGGCTGGGTTTTGGTTTGGCACCATCCAGTTCAACTTAGGTTTTGAGTGGTTTTGGGTTGGTCTAGTGGCTGGGTTTTGGTTTGGCACCATCCGGTTCAACTTAGGTTTTGAGTGGTTTTGGGTTGGTTTAGTGGTTGGGTTTCCATTTGACTCATGAAATGCCAAACGTTTGGGGGATCTGAGGAAAGCCCAGCTTTGTTGGACCAAACCAAACCATCAATTAGGGGGAAGCTGATTTACAGTAGTTCGAAAGGAAGTCAAAGGGCATGTGCGCTTTTTTTGCGGGGCCAAGATATGTTGAGAATCCTTATTCACCTCCATCTGCGGTAGAAGTCACGGCATGGGGAAAACTAACTATCTCAAAAGTGGGGAGGGGGGGGGATACTCACCGTACTATTTCGGATGTGCCACACCTAGTTGACCACGTAGTTGGACCTCCCCAATTGGCCCCATCGTCATGATGGTGTTCTTTTGGAATGCATCAACTACTTTTCAGGCATGCCCGCATATAGAATCGACACGGGGCACGTTCAAGATGGTCGAACACTATGCACATGCGTGTGTGTGTGTAAGCATATATTTGTATACATATGTATACACATTTACATGCATGCACTTGCACATAGATGTACGTACCTATCTATATGTGCATAGAAACATATAGAGGATCCATGTGCTTAATACACAAGTCGCACTTTGCCTCCTGCGCGCGGAGTTTGTCTTTGGATCCTATAGGATCCAAACCTGAGCAAGCTAGGGCCAGTGTACGGATTTCTTTGGAGGTTTGGTTCTAGTTTGCATGTTCAAAGGGTCAACTTGGAGTTTTTGTGTTAGTTGTTGGCATGTTCCATCTGGGAGCCATATCTTCATCCTTGCCTCCAGATTGCAGAGACCAATTTTTGCAATCCATACCCGGGGGTTCGACTACCAAGCGATCGAACTCCAAGCGATGCCTCAAAGCTCTGACCCCGTCACCGTGGGGCCCACTCGCCACCGGTGAAACGGTGAGAAAACACGAGGGATCAGGACCGAGATCTGGTAACACCCCCATGTTCAAGCCTGTCGGCGCGGCTGTTTTGAAAACATTTGTGGTTTGAACGGGAAAAGAGGTCGTCGGGCGGTGCGTGTTGCTCTTTATTCTGTTTTTTATGTGTCTCTCATGTCTAAATGTGATACTTGCCAATGGTGGGCTGGGTTGTACTGAACGCCTTTGCAAGGCACATCAAAACCCACGGCATGTTTAGAGGACTCCTCCTTTGGGATGGTCCTCCCGCTTGGAGGAGTATCGAAACCACTACGCGTGTGTTTTTTACTCTAAGAAGTTCTCCTGAGCCCCGGTCGGTCACTCCGCTTTGTTGTGCATTTTGTTCTGGGTGATAAACAGCTTATGATGCTGATTTCCCCAAAAAGCTAAACGCAGTCCAGCAACAACAAGTCCCGTCTGCCACTTTTCTCCTTGTGAACTTTTTTGCGGTTGTGTAATTTATCGTATTTTACCCGAGCTCCTATTAAATTTAGCTTTGTCTCCAAAAACTAGGGACACCCGAGAATGGTTGGTTTTCCTTTTGATTTCCCTTTCAGGTACTTTCAAGCAGCGACACATCCATACTTCCCTTTAAGCATCATCACACCAAAAGCATCTTAATTAAACATAATATCAGTATCATGTCCATTTGACAATCGATTTGCGGTCAGCTTCTGCTGAGCTTTCAGGATGTCCGCAGGCAGCTCATCACACTGATGGACCGTTTCTGGATGCAACAAGCGAGGCGGTTTGCTTGATGCGTGGTTTGTTCGCTGGTTGTTTGACTGTTCTGTTTCTTTGTTTTTTTGGGCAGGGCCTTTGGAAGGCGTGTGATACCAATTTAGTAGGCTAGGCAGACAGTTGGTTTGTTTGTCTCTAGGCGATGTTCACAAGGCCCAGGTAAGGGACTTTCGCATTGGGTGGTTCAAGCACGCCGCAGAAGATCTGGGAGGGAGCAACCAAAAGTAGCCTTGGTTTTGTTTGTTTGCAACATATGTGTGCAGCGTTCGCGATTGCATGAGAAAGCGGGGTGTTTTTTTGCTTCGAACCAATCCTTTTGGGATCGCTCATTCTTCTTGGAAGTGTTTCTTGGGTCGGCCCCCTTTTCTGGTTTTTTTGGGTGGTAAAGCTGGTGAGGTCACAAACTGACACCTTGCTTTGCAAAGCCATATTGTGATATTTGCATGTTAGCTTCTTGGTTCATTAGTTTGTGTTTCTGTGAGGTTGTCTTAGTTGCTTGGTCTGCTTGCTTGTTTGCTTGTTTGCGTTGTTTGTTCGCTCGTTGGTTGGTTCGTTTGTCCGTTTGTTGGGGGTTGGTTTGATTTGTCGGTCGTTTGGCTGGCTGGCTGGCTGGCTGGCTGGCTGGCTGGTTGGTTGGTTGGTTGGTTGGTCGGCTGGCTCTGGATGGTTGGTTCATTTATTTTGTTGTGTTGCTTGTTCGTGTTGTTTCATTGTTTCTTGGTTTGCCTGTTCGTTTGGCTGGCTTGTTGGTTTGGGTTGGTCGGTGAAGCGTTCTGCCTTGACGAGGGCACTTTGGCAGCGGGCGGGGTTGGGGGTGGGTACGGCGGGTGGTGAGGGCTGCATGTCATTTCCTGCCAACAAACACATACCAATGGCTAGGATTTTTGATAGCGGCCTAAACGTGGTCGGGGACATGAAGCCCATGTAAGGTTTTGTCCGCTCAACGGTCCACCCCAGCACAGCCACTCACCCTCCAAGACTGGTAACATCGTTGGGTAGGCTCCCCCTGCCTCCAAAGAGAGAAACCGCACCTTTCAAGGGTAGCTTTCAGCCTAAGAACCCTTACAGCCAATGGCACAAACATGTCCCACCATTCGGCTACCAGTCATTTCGCTATAGGTTCCCAACCATGGCTCCCTTCATGTTGCAAGTGTGGTTCCTTCCGTTCCCTTGGCAAATGGCTCTGGAAAAACCACGGATTTTCCCATAGGTGTCCCTCAAGTAGCTCTCTCTCGGGGGTGAAGTGAACTGAGTCACAATCAAACCCGGGTAGATGAAGGTTAGTAAGGGGCAGTCCCAGCCCGAATTTGCTTCGGCCGCCTTCCAAATCCTGTACATGGTTCTGGGTAGACGGTTTTCATACCGGGTTTTGATTGTGACTCAACTAAGGCTACAAGTTTGAGATCGTCTCCTGCGGCAATGATTACAACCGCATCAGGAGGGGCAGAGAGGCGTGCAGAGAGACCCACCCAACCAGTGGCCGTTTCATGGCTTCCTTCCAGCTGTTTCGGCGATTGCCGACTTTGGGCTAGGGCTTGCCGCAATGAGATGAACCCGAAAAGGGTGCCGAATCTTGGAAACCCATGGAAATTTACTGAGGGTTTGGGACTATAGTAACCAAAGTTTAACATGAGGGTTGGCCCTGGTTGTCCACTGAAAACTGAAAGCAGGACCTCCAAAAACTAATTCCTGAAGTGGGTGCTTGTTGCGTTTCATCCTCATTAGGCCATGGGTCAAAAGCCCGTACCTCCAGCGAACATCCCAATCCCCACTAAAATAGACAGAAATGTGTGGTGCACCTACCCCAAAATGGGATCCCATTGGTTTTGACAACCACGGCCATTTGCTGGAGGTTTTGCATCCTTTCCCCCATAGCTCGAGGTTTGACTTGACCCGTCACTTCGAGCGCAGGAGGTGCATCACAGCAGGGTACTTTGGCAATGCCAGCAGCTCCTCGGCCATTGGGAATATAACTAGGTTCCCCAGCTAGGTGCCCTTCTCACCCCTTTTTGGGGGAGGGTTCTTCTACTAAAATAGACACAGAACAAAAGGATACCCGTATTCCAGCCTCTCTACTAGAGGACCTAGATAACGCAAACTGGGGATCAGAGTGCTTGGTGGCCCAAAAAATGGGCTGGGGGTTATTGGCTGAAGTCGTGGTAGTGGAGTTGTAGCAAGCGAGACTCGTAGCAGTCGCTTCCAGAAGCTTGTGAAAGGAACATGAGATGGAACCCCAGCCCGGAGAAAGCTGGCCAAGTCTAGAGGGGCCGAACCCCTTGGGGGGGGGGGGTCGAGCGCTTGAAAAAGCGCTCGGATGTCCGACCTAAGCAAGTGAACGTGGCAAGGAGCAAGAAGGTAAACCAAGTAGGCTGGGCGACTCTTCTTCTCAGTTGTTCAAAGCCGACCTGACCTTTTGGTTTTCCCCTTGGCCCATTTTTACTCGAGGTCCCGAAAGGTGAGCCGCTTATTTCCAGGTCCTTGTGGCAAGTAAGTCTTTGGGTTGCCAACATGACCCTGGGGTCCCATAAATCGGTGCCTTCTTGGCTGCGTGGTGCAAATCGCATGTCGCAAGTGTAAGCTGATGTTGAAACCATGGGCCCTCAAAGGTGTAGATGTCCTTGAATCCTTTTGCAGGGCTCCTTAAAAGATCTCCATTTTGCCATTTGAAAGATGTTGCTTTTTCCACCAAAATAAAGGGACACCGCCATTTGCAAGCCAATGTTCCAGGTGTTTCTATTGTAAGGATCCCTGTTATTTACAAAGCCAAGCACGGCAGAAAGAGCCGCTCCACAGATACCAGATGAGGTTTCCTTGCATCCTTAAGAACGGAAGCTAGCAAATCGAGGGGTCCCAAGCTTTGTTCCCGTGTGGCTGCCTCAAAATAGGGGTACCCCTTTTTGGATTTAAAGGATGACAAAAGGAAACCAAGCACCAAGGGTCGCGTTTGAGAAGCACCAATTTGGCAAGCACGTTTGCATTATCTCCCTACTAACATGGCACCTGACAAGGGGTGTCCCTACTTCCATTTGCTTAAGACTACTTTGTGTTTTCCCCTCTTGGTTTTAAAGGGAATCGATTTGACTACTGGACATATTTTCTCATTTTTCCAGGGGCAAAACAGCAAATGACAGCCTTCCAGGTACCCCGCTGGTGCTATGTTAATACTTCCCCAGAATGAGCTCTCCTTTTCAATTGTTCTTGCTGTTTTGGGGTTCCCTTTGTTTTCCACTAACCAGGCATAAAAGAAGCTTACAAGAGGATGAAAGCCAACAAGCGGAATTTTATCTTCCAGCCTTTGTTTTCCACTAACCAGGCATAAAAGATCTCATTTTTTGCAAAGGAGTCCGAATAAATTCCAGCTACGATAGAGCTCAGGAAGAGATCCGCAAGAGGGCTACCGGACGCTCACGGACCACAACCAGGACGGAGATCGCCATGGGAAATGGTCAACGAACCCCGGTGAAATTGCTCTAGCTAGGTCATCCAGTAGTGCCCTTTTGCCGTTTCTTTTTTGGGGGAGGGTTCCGAACCCTACTAAAATAGACTACAGAAAAAAGGGTACCCTTATTCTAACCTCTCTATTGGAGGACCTAGCTAGGTTCCGCCAACAAAGAGACTTTTTAAAGATAGAAAGCCCGGCGCTTTCAAACAAGGGGGCTAGCACTCATGGAAACCAGCCTACACTCGAAAAGCTCTAGAATGTCCTGCTGGCTTCTTTGGGTTTCCCTTGCAACTCAATCGGCAACCCATGGGCCTTTGGAAGTTGTCCGGCCTGGGTTGGAGATTGGCGGATTCCTCGGCCCTGGCGTTTGAAAGAGAGACCAAAGTGGCATTGGAGCCAGCTGGGCTGGTTTCCTTTTGATGTCTGCAGGCGCTTTGAGCCTTTTGAGATCTGTGAGAATTCAACTTTGACAGCTGACTTTTTTTCAGGATCTCGTTCGTGAATCAGGTGAGCGCCATTCCACCGATTCGCACTGGACATTTTAGTATCAGGTTCTGCCTGGTTTCATTGGGGTGGCTTACTTCAAGCCTTTCCACCCATTTCAGAACCCCAAAGAGCCCATGGGTTCGTCGGTATATCTTTGGACCAAAGCCCTCCGGGAGCATCTCGCTGAGTCGATAGGTCTACATCCATCCGGCCTCTGCGCTGTACCAGCGGAACCCCGAGTGGATCGTGTACCACGAGCTGGCCGGGGGTCCCAGACTTGATTTGATCAGTCAACCTAGTCAGGTTGCGGTTTTATGGGTGCTCTTGAGAGAGAACAGCACCCAAAGGGAACCCGGAAAAACTCAATGCCCCGAGAAACAGCCTTAGTCGCTTTTGATAGCCTACGATTGGACAACCATAGGACCGGATGATCGCTTTCTTCCGATCCCAAGCAGGCGTGCCCCAGGTTTTCCATCAAGGACCATTGGCTTTGTCCTGGTAGCCAAGATGTGAACATATAGCCGGGCCCTTTGTGGCGATGGGTCCCCTTGCGAGATATTGGCATCTTTCGGAGTGCTTTGGACTCGGAAACCTATTGTAGCCACGGGGCCATGGCGCAATGGCAGCGCGTTCAAGTCCTATTGGCCCTAAGCTTCTCTCCTGCAAATGCCTCTTCCACTTGGCGTCAAGTGTGAAACTGGAAGCAATGACGCTGACCCCGTGTAAGTTCAAGTTTTGTTCAATGTGGATCTAGTGTTCCGTTCAGGTTTTTCCTCTTGCAAGGGTTTGTCTCACGCCATACTGTTCGCGGGTCGTATGGTGGCTTGTGTGAAATGGGGAAGGCTGGAAGAAGATACCTCCCACCAATTCACATGAGGGTTTCTTTGAAAGGAAAATGGTCCAAACCAGGACCCCCCCTGAACGGCAGGTTCCATGTTAGTTGAAGGGTACATCCAATTTCGCGAAGCTGCGATTCGCAGAGTTCAGGTCTTGACCAGCAAGGAGTACTTGCGGGAATGCTCGACAGCCCAAGCCTTGGCTGTGGCACTAGTCACTCCTGCTCATCCGTGCGGGCGACGTTTCAAGTCATAGACATTGCATTTGAGCCAGGTATTTCAGCGCATTGCCCATCAAGGTCTTTTGCACCCATCTGGTTTGTTTGAGGGTACCATTTTTTGGGTTGGTTTAAAGAGAAACCAAAAGTCAGGTTGCCAGGAAGTGGCCCTTTGAATTGTACCTTTGGGCGTCCAAGGCTCCACTGCTCTGTGGCAAGCAGCCAACAGTCGTTATCCATGATTTGCGACCTGTCACCTGTCCTGTCACCTTTCGTTGACTTGCTGGTGCGATAAGTAGGGAATGTGGGAATGAACCCAGGAAATTGGTCCCCTTTATGTTCGGGCCATTCCTATTCTTCCCATCTCTCGCACCGACAAGATGATATCCAGTGAGTAGCTTGTGCCTGTTCTTGACAGGCAGGGAGCCAAGGCGGATCCGGCGGATCCGACGGATTCCGAGCCCCTGCCATCCGCCCGGACCGCCCGGCGGCTCCAAGACGCGCGCGTCAAAGAGATTCGAGGTTGAGTGGGCAAGAGCCATGGCAGGATTGGGGAGCAAGCGGCTGTCTGCACTGTGCTTGGAACCTCCTAGCCCGTCACTCCTCAACAGGTTTGCGTCGGCGTGCCACGGCTGCATTTGCGATTTTGAACATCGCAGTGGTGTCCAAAAAAGAAGTGGGGGGCCCTCTGATGAGGACGAGTAACCAGGTTTGCGCTGAGATTCAATTGCCCGGATGTTGGATAAGTATTGCACTCATCAAGGAATTATTGTCTCACGGGGAATCCATCAAGGGGAGTCCATTATTTACTTCAGGGGGAATCCATGGCCAAACATGTTTGTCTCAAACTTGCTGCTGCTCAGCAGGGAATGACCTTCCTTTCGAAATGCACCGGAAAGGGGGTCCTTAAAGGAAACCACAAGGGACGGTTCATGGGGTCATTCCATCTCTCATTCCCTGCTTGTACAACCAGCAAGCAACGGGTGAATTCAAGCAGATGGACACCTACCGCCTCAACCCTATGAGACAGACATATTGGCTGTGGGCCAAAACCAATGGTACCATTTTCGAGTAGGGTCACCACCCATTTTAGTGTATTTTAGTGGGGACTGGGATGTTCACTGGGAGTACGATTTGGATTTTGACCCATAGCCATATGTGTTGGCATGAATGTATGTATTCCATGTAGTATATTTAATTTGTACAGGGCTCCTTAAAAGATACCTTTTGCCCCATTTGAAACATCGCTTTTTCCACCACCATTTACAAGGCAATGTTCAGGTGTATAATGTAAGGGTCCCTGTTGTACATGTCTATGCATACACATATATTCCATGTATGCATACCCGTGTACCGCAGAAACTTCGCCATGTGACGCAGGAGGGTGACTACCTCACCGCAGATCCAACGACCACAGGCGCAGGAAGCGCAGGCAGCGGGCAATCAAGAAGCAGCCCGTAGTCAAGGCGGGCGATTGCAACAGTTGCTTCCATTTGCCTCACGCTTTCTTATTTCCCCCTGGTGGTTTTGAAGGGAATCCATTTCACTACTAATATCATGTTTTGTCTTCTTCTTTTTTTATGTGTTTTTCTCGACTGGGCTTAACAAATGGCAGGTTGCCGCAAATGAATATGTTGACTGAGGCGCGTGTGTTCCCCACAGGTCTTCCAGGAACCTGCAGGAATTGAGCTTTCCCAAAGAGTTCAACCCACGAAAGGTTCAGCAACTTGCGCCCAAAGCCCCCACGGCGTTTCTACCAGGTTTAGCAGACCTTTATGGTAAGGCCTATACAAACTTGTGCAACCATCTTGGTAGAACGAACAGTCAATAGGTTTTGGTTGTAGTGTTTTGGCAAACCATGCTTATGCAACCCATTTGTACTTTTTAAGCAACCTCTGTGTATTTCAGAAACCAAAGTCCCCAGCCCTGCGTTTTTGGAAGAATTGAACATGCAGGCATCAGCAGTGTTCACTTTGTGTGATTTTAGTGCTTGCCTAATCTGGAGAAGCTTCTGTTTTTGCCAGTACCACCAACACCCAAAGAATGATTAAAACAAAAAGCAAAGCCCTGAGGGACGTTTTTGGGGGACATGCCCAGAACCTTTCGTCTCGTGGATTCTCTTTTTGTTTTTGCCGGTTTTCCTCGAGGTTTTCGGGCTTTCTCCGAATGATTTTGCCAAAATATCCTGGTAGATCTCTCCCATGGAAAAGCTTTCTCCTGACAAATTGCTGCTATGTTCGCTATTTCTAGTGTGGGACCCCACCCTACTTTTGGCTAGAGGCGGAGCGCTTCTAGGAGAAAACGCAAGACCCAAATCAATGGCACATGCCAGGGACGGTAAATTGGTTGTAGTTGATGTTTGTGTTCTTCGGTGGGTGGTGTATCTCTGTGATCATTTTTCTAGAGAGGTGCCCCAAGCACGTGCTTTTCATTTTGCAATTGTTGTGCAATTTCTCCGAATCATGGCAAAACAAATTGCCAGGATATTGGATGCGTACAGTCTCACCAGCGCTACCCAAAACGTATCACAAGCCGAACAATTCCAAAACTCAGGCGTCAAGTATGCTAGCCATGCACTTTTGGGAGCCGAGCTGGAAATGCAATCAAGCTAGGCTAAGCACGTTCTGAATGTACTTTAAATGCGCTCGAAAGTATGCTATGCATCCCGCGGCCAGATGGCAACGCTATATAGCTAAGGACACACCCTTGAGATATAATGCGAATGCATGAGGCACATGCTGAAACTTGATAAACATATAATAGATATCACGAAACCCACATTGTGCGAACGAAGCGAGTAGGGAAGAGGTTGAAGGATGACTTTGGTGGAGTTGATAATCTCTTGCGCGACCTGCAGACAGCACTCGTGATCGATGAAAGAATGACTGCGACTGCTGAGTTTTGCTCTCGCAACCTGATGCTGCGACACCGAGCGCTCGCACGATGGATTCTGAACATATCGCCGTTTGGCTGTCGGCCAAGCATGCTGATTCTAACCCATGCTTTTCTCTTCAAGCCTGCTGCTAGGCGGGCACAACCGCTAGTAATTATAGGAGACCTTGCTGCTGGATGCATTCTTGTCACTCAAAACCTGTGTGGCAGAGCGAGTTGCCCATGCCTCCCTGAAAGATCCATATTTGGCCTTCGCACTCCTCTCCTCAGGTAGTTTGTATATATATATATACATATAATATATATATATATAGATATGTATGCTAGACATATTCAGAAGCAATCTTCGATAAAAGCAGACGCAGTGCTAAGAGTGCTCTAACAGCCCTTAATGTTGCTTGCCCCGTCATTGCAAAACAGTGTTTTCATGCGGCATTGGCCTCTCTTGTGTTTTTGCGTAGCAAAACATTGGCTAAGCAACCCAGTTTTGCTTCCGCGAAACATGTTTATGCGACCAATGTTAGCAACAATCGGTTATTTTAGCAAGCCACTATTGTTTCAGCAAACACATGTTTAAACAACCCACTTTAGCAAGAACTGGTTGAGCAACCTCTTTGTGTTTCAAAACGAAGGCCAAGGTGAGCTATGGCGAAGTCAAAACCTGCTCTCCTTTCCGGCTGAACACGATGCTCTGTTTTCGCGCTTCCAGCCCTCCCCTTGTCTCCAAATTTCCCTTTTGGTCTGCCTGGTGCTCTTGGCTATTAATGCTCTTCCTCCCCCTCCCCTTCTTGTTCTTCTTGCAACAACTTTCCAGCGAACGGGGTCTTCACACACAGAAGCTCCGACGCAACATCCGGAGCGCTCCGCAAAACTTGGCCAACCACCCGCCTCGACAGGCGATGGTCATCGCTCGCCCAGGTGAGGCTGACTGCAGTCTCACCTGGGAAGGGACTTTCTCAAAGGAAACGACCCCTGTTTTTGATAAAAATGAAAGAATCAAGCCATTTGGAAACCAACCAAGATGGGGATCCTTTAGAGAACACCCAAGGAGCTTTAAATACAACCAACTTTTTGCGTTTCCCGGTGTCCGCGACCGCTTTCTCTGAAACGCGTGGTCACTCGTTTAACTGACCGGCCGGCGATCTATGAGAGTTGGCCATTTGATAAGTTTGTGCAGGGGACTGATTCGTGTTGGTTGAAGCATCCCATGGACAAATGTTCATGAACACCCTCTCAAATGGCACAAATATCAATGTACATGGTACTAATTGAAGCAGATGCCGTCATCTCATTGCTACATGTAGAAATGACATTGCCGTACGGTTGTGATCCATGCGCAGCAACTGCGTTGCGCCTCCGTGTGCCGAAAAGGCGACTGTGGCAACCTGTCGGCCCCTGTCCAAGCCAAACGTCGGACCGAAGATGCTTTTCGCGGCGGACAGGGCGCTAGAGCGGGTGTCAAAACTGAGGCCGGAAAAGGTATTTGCCTATATGGTAAGCTCACCTGGAGGTAAAGCGAGCTCAGCGCGCAGGTCCTTTGTTTCAGGATCCCTTGGTTCAGGTTTTGCACATTGGAAATACAGATAATATCCATTTGGGGACTGTGCTTTAGAGAGAGGACGTAGTTGCTGAGTGGCTCCCCGCCTTTCTCTCTTCCTCTCGAATTTTTGGTCTGCGGGCTTTCCCTCCAAAATCAATGGCCAAAAAAGTGTTTCTTTATTCTCCGCAGCTGGCAAGGAAGGAAAGGGGATCTAGATAAAGCCATTTGGATGAGCCAAGGTCATTATTCGGTATTTTGATGTGAGTGTGTTCCTCACGTCCCAAGCTACCATAGATGACATAGCCTTGTTTGTGTTTGGGTTGTTGAAGGTTTCAGTTTTGGGTCGATTTAAAGGGAACCCAACAGGCCAACCATCATATTTGGGGTCCCCCTACTTTGACCCGTATATATATATATATATATGTATATATATATATATATGGCCATTGTTCACATGTGCAATCCCGTCTGGGGATTCTTGCAAGGGTTGGATATACACTAAGAACACGTATGAAGCGGCCTTGGTGCTGTGAGGGTTGT